CCCTAATTTTCTTTTAAGAAAGTATATATATATATATATATATATATATATATATATATATATATATATATATATATATATATATATATATATATATATATATATATATATATATATATATATATATATATATATATATATATATATATATATATATATATATATATATATATATATATATATATATATATATATATATATATATATATATATATATATATATATATATATATATATTAAAATAAAAATAAATGAAATATGTACAAATGTCAAAAAATGAAAATATATTAGAAAAATATTATTTTTAATGAGGGTAAAAACCCTAGTTTCTTTTAGGAAAGTAAATATATATTAACTGTTTTATTCATGTATGATAAAATAAAATAAAATATACAAAATAAAAATATATTAGAAAAAATATTATTTAAGTATAAATAATAAAAATAAAAGTATAATATTTTTATGTATTATTTTTTAAGTTTTCATTAAATAAAAGAAAAGTATATAATCACTAAATTATTTTTATGTTAGAAAAAATAAAAATAAAACACAAAAATAAATGTGAAAATTTATAAAAATATTTTTGGTATTTTTTATGTTTGGAAAATAATAAAACAAAATCAGAAATAAAAAAAATAAATACAAAAATATAAAAACATAAAGAAATGGGCCAGGGGGTGCAATCAGTAAAAGGGAGGTGTAAAAAACAAGGCCAGAACCAAGCCCAGCCCACTGACTTCATCTTCAACCTTTGTCACAAACAAAAAACGTGCGCCTGACTTCAAACATGGAAAACCTGCATACGTGCTCTAATGTAAAAACCCATAACATCAAAGTTGTAGCATTTTTCAAGACGAATTCAATCATATAAGAAACTTGATCTAACTCTCAAAGACCAGAGAGAATTTCTATGGCCCTAAATTCTAACCTAATTTTTTCAGGAAGTTCATGGATCAAATTCTCTTAGCACGTTTAACTTAAATGAAAATTGAGCATATGTACAGCTTCATGGCTATGAATACTACATTTTTTATTCACAAACCTAAGCGTAATGATTCCTAAATAGAGATATAGGAAGTTGACAAAAACCTATTTCAGTTGACTTCGTGTATGGCAATGTGGAGCTTTTCAGTGAGGCCTGAGGTGTTTGGGAGCTTGCTTGAACTTCCCCTGACCTTTCCCAATACCTAGTTTGCCTTGAATGTGCTTGAACAAGCTTGTAGAACTCAACCTGCACAAGCTGAAAACAGAAATGGTAAACCTTGTAAAGGGAGTTACAGTCACTCTTCAATGGTTGGGATATCTTGGATAGGTTATGTGGAATGTGTTTGAACAAGTTTGAGGCTAAACGCACGAGGGATTTTTGCTATGGAAGTCAAACTGCAGGGAGTGCCCTGTTTTGCCAATGGAAGGTGATTTTGTGCTATGGAAGGTTTGAGGGCTCAATGGCTCGTGTTTTAGGTTCAATACAATGTGTGAAACTTGTCTCAAAAGCTTGCAAGAGTTGGTTCCCTCTGATGTTCAAGTTGTGTCGTATTTGACAAGTTTCTTGGTTATGAAGCAAAAATGAGAAGTGACAAAGAGCAGGCCAGTACAGGCTAGCTCTAACCCTGCATACATTGTTCAAGCTTGGCCCCAAGTTTTTGGATTTGATTTGATGTACAAGATCTTGTTCAAGGCTCAAGGATTCTATTTGACATAAAGCAAGATTTTGACAAAAATGGCAATGTTACCTTTTACTATTTTAGGGTTAATTCTTTGTGTAATCCTCCCATGCCCAAAACAAAGCCTTAGACCAATAGGTTTGCATTTAATTATTGAGTATGGAAGGGTTTTGGGACCTGTAATCTAGTACAAACAAGGCTGATTAGAGTTTGCAACTTGTATCACTAAGAAAATGCCATGGATCAAAAGTGAGTTTTTGCCAACTTCAAGCCTTCGATTCTCCCTAACCACAAATGATTTTGGAGAGTTCTTGGACTTTTTAGAAAGCTTATAACATGCTCTACATTACATATTTGAAATGAATTTTGAGATTCCAAGTGGAACTATGAGAAAAATGGTCATGAAGATAGGTCAAAATCCTGCCTAAACTAGGGCAAAATTTCACTAAGTTAAAAGTTTCATGGACCCTTGTTCCAAAAATCATAACTTGAGATTCAAGCTTCTTTTTGAAATAATTTGTGAATAAAAGTTATAGACTTTGTGGAGGACTACAAATTTCATGTTGGAAGTTTTGTTTGGATCCAATTGCATCACAGTGAAAATATTGGGCAAAGTTGGGAAAAAATAAGAAAATTTCATAACTTAGAAAAATTCTAAGTTATGAAATTTTTCTATTTTAAACCCTAATTTGCAAAATTAGGTTTATTGATGAACAAGTTTCATGTTTTGACATATCTTGATGAAAAATGACCCTTGGCACTTGATTTTGACCAAAAAGTCAAAGTTTGACTTTTCAATGTACAGTCAAATTTTGATCAGTTGACTGAAAAATTAATTTGTCAATCCAATGCATTTGAGATCTTTTGAACCTTGTGAATAGGTCAATATGATGGCATTGAGTCCTTGAGTCCATGCTTGAACCCAATTTGCCATTGGCTAGGTGAAAAAATCAGAAATTGCCCTTATACAGTCAAAACCCTAAAAATGACCATTTTGCCCTTTTAATGATCTGATCAAATTTCTTGAGGAGTTGTGGTTCAAACTTGATCAAATGGTTCATATGAGTCTATAATGTTGAAGTGGATCAAAAATCATGAGGTTTGACTGTAAATTGGCCACAGTTGACTTTTTCCCCAATACAACTGATTTTTAGGTCAACTGTTTAATTGACTGGCCAAAAATTTGATTCAAGGCTTGAAACTTGGTAGAGGCAATCTTATAAGTCCAACATGAAGTATGAAAGTCACTTTGAGCATTGAAAGTCCAAAAATTCCTGTGCAAACTCAAACCCTAATTCAGGTCATCAGTGCAAGGAGATGTCTTGAGCAGAGCAAAACCCTAATCCTGTCTGGAGTTCAAGGAGTCTTATGAGAGGAAATCTTGATAAAATGAGAGGGAAAATTTTGGGGTACAACATAGAGTTTCACTGTGAAGGAAACGGTGCTACTGTCAATAAGTGAGAGTTAATTCACTTATATATGGATAAATTATTTTACAACGGTTCTCTACCAACCATATTGATAACTATTTATTTATTATAAATATATCACAACGGTGGAACGTATCAACCGTTGCCATATCCCTTTAAGTTTTTATATGTAAATAAATAAATAAAAAAGTCGTGCCTTAACATTAAAGGAATAATATATATGATGGCGATGAGGTTCGAACCCGCCCATAAAAGCTTGATAGTTTTGTCACGGTTGGATTCTCAACCGTTGTTATATACAAATAATTTTTAATTAAAAAACAAAAACAATATAGAAACGCCTTATTTTAGAGATGTCACCATAGTATAGTGAAGAACCGTGGTGTCTATAACATTATTGTTTATGCATTTTGTAGTAGTGATAAAATCCTATATAAACTCAAACAAGCTCTAAAAACTTGGAACAAGAAGATAGATGGTTTATTGAGAGAAAAGCAGTTCGTAAAGTACACAATTGAACTTGGTTTACATGTGAAATTCATAAATGTGTTAAGTATAACGTCAAAATTAATAATTCAGTATGCATACAAATTATGCCTCGGTAAATACTTTATTTAGTAAGAGAGGTCCTAAAAAAACTCCTTTTAATCTCATTGTGATCCTATCGTTCATATCTTTTCTTTTCTTTCAATATATATGAATTTCAATAGTCTACTAACTTTATCATATATGTATATTCCTAGGATAACTTATGCGGTGGACCATTTTTTTTTTTAAGAATTCTCTTTTATTCTAAACTCATGTCTTTCCAGTAATAACCTGCAACTTTGTGTGCTAGTACAAAGCCATATTTTACCATGACTCTTCCAACCAGAAAACATGCATGTCAAAAGCAAAAAGTCATTAAAAGTTCATATCAAAGCCTCCTTCATAGTGAAATTATTGTTTTCTTGAAATATCATGTCATTTCTCCAATCCAAAACCTCTTCTCATCAATCAAAGGTTGTAAACATACATCAATGTTATTTTTTGGACTCTAAATGTCCTAATTCAAAAACATGTAACATTTTGACGTGCACATCTTTAGAGAGAGCTTATATGAGATAACAATAATTAGCCAACAAGAATAAGGTGTTTCTGACGCTTAGATATACGAAATAAAACCATAAGAGAATAATATAAATCTCAAATTTCTTACATCTTATGATCTCATGGAGACTCCTAATCAATCTACGACAGACATCTTATACTTCATTATAAATATCTTGTGACGCGGCGAAAACAACAAACCCATAAATTCCTTTAAAATGAGGTTTAAGTCCTCTTTTTTCAAGAAATTTTCTATCCTACATTCCAATGACAATTTCCTTGAAAAATTCTTTAAAGTAACTTTTTTTTTCTTCTAGGACTCTCGTTCCTAAGTAAAGTTGGTTAGAAATAGCACTATTTTTTTTTATATTGCTTCTGGTATTATATTTTAACCAAATTTATGTTAATCATTTTATTGACTACGTATTAAAATATATCTTTCACTTGATTAGTATTAAGTGCTTTAAGGAAATTAGGTAAGCTATAACAAATAACAAACTCTTGCACAGCACATTGAGAATACGATCAAGATAATGGGAAACAGCAAAATCACACTACAGTTGGTGTAATAGTGTGATTATGTACTTTTTTGTATGCCACTTTGTGGGCACAATTGAATTTCTCTTCTCTGCATGTGCTTGCACCACTCTCAGCACAAAGAAATTCTCAAGATGTGTTGTAGAAACAATCTTTATCATCACGTTACATGGGACGGCACAAAACGCGCTTTTGTAATCTCATTGGATCAACTGATTCCTATAAATACCCATCTCAAGTGTAGTGAAACCTCAATTGTGGGATTTGAGCATTCTGAATAATGGCAACTTCGAAAGTTTTAAGTTTTGTTTTCTTTGTGTTGTTGTGTTTAGGAATATGCTCTGCTGCTAGAACACTCATTAGCATTGGTTTGGGTCACGAAATTAATGGAGGTTTCCATGGTGATATTGGTGTGAGCGGTGGTGTAGGTGGAGTGCATGCTGGTGTAGATGGACATGGAGGAGGAGCCGGTGGAGGTGAAGGTGCAGGTGGTGGTGGTCAATATGGAGGAGATGTTGTTGCTGGCGGTGGTGGTGGTGGAGGTGGAAGTGGCGGTGGGGGTGGTGCAGCTGAAGTTGGTGGATATGGTGGAGGAGCTGGAAAAGGAAGTGGGGAAGGAATTGGTGGAGGTGCAGCACATGGTGGTGGTTATGCTGGTGGTGGAGGAGGTGGTAGTGGTGGAAGCGGAGGTGGTGGTGCAACTGAAGGTGGTGGATATGGTGGAGGAGCTGGCAAGGGAGGTGGGGAAGGATTTGGTGAAGGTACAGCACATGGTAGTGGTAATGGAGGTGGTGGAGGAGGTGGTAGTGGTGGAGGCGGCGGTGGTGCAGCTGAAGGTGGTGGGTATGGTGGAGGAGCTGGAAAAGGAGGCGGGGAAGGATTTGGTGGAGGTGCAACACATGGTGGTGGTTATGCTGGTGGTGGAGGAGGTGGTAGTGGTGGAGGCGGAGGTGGTGGTGCAACTGAAGGTGGTGGATATGGTGGAGGAGCTGGCAAGGGAGGTGGGGAAGGATTTGGTGAAGGTACAGCACATGGTAATGGTAATGGAGGTGGTGGAGGAGGTGGTAGTGGTGGAGGCGGCGGGGGTGGTGCAGCTGAAAGTGGTGGGTATGGTGGAGGAGCTGGAAAAGGAGGCGGGGAAGGATTTGGTGGAGGTGCAGCACATGGTGGTGGTTATGCTGGTGGTGGAGGAGGTGGCAGTGGTGGAGGTGGAGGTGGTGGTGCAGGAGGTGCTGGTGGTGGTTATGGAGGTGGGGAAGGAGGTGGAATAGGGGGTGGATCTAGTGGAGAACATGGAGGAGGATACGGAGGTGGAGGTGGAAGTGGAGGTGGTGGAGGAGGGGGTGCTGGTGGAGTACATGGTGGGGGATATGGTGGTGGTGAAGGAGCAGGTGGTGGATATGGGGGTGGAGCAGCAGGTGGTGGTGGGTCAGGTGGTGGCTTTGGTGGGGGTGGAGGTGGTGGAGGTGCGCATGGTGGAGGATATGGCGGTGGTGCCAGAGGTGGTGAAGGTGGTGGCCACGGTGGATATTATCCTTGAGGCTTGAGCTTACGAGGAAATTTATTGTTTTGAAAGAATGCCTTACTATCTTTAACTATAATAGTGAAAAGAATAAGATATAATTATGATGATTATAAACTACTACTACTAAAATTAATTATTATATATGTACTTCTTGAAATGTTAAATGAATGCAAATTAAGGCTTCTATCATAATGAAATATACCAATATATGGAATCTAGTTTCAATTAACTTATGTCAAATAGATGTACTATGCGATTAAGAACAATAAGTCTAATAGACCCTATTATATATTGTTGCTTTTATAACTCGGTTATGTTGGCCCACAATCTCAAGGCAACGAGAACTTCCTCTACGAAGGGGTGGCGGAAGGTAGAGAACAAAGAAAAGTATTAGAAAAGTATATAATAGTTGGGATGAAGCATGGGACGGAGGAAGGAGGGAAAATGCTGATATATTTACGTTCTTTATTATGGAGTTTACAGACAAATGGAATGCTAAAGACTTATACTCTCTGTTCGTTGAGTTAAGGGATATTGATGAGGTGATAATACCTCCCAGAAGAGATAAAAGAGGAAAGAGAATAAGAGATATGGTTTTGTGTGTTTTTTCAACGTAGCAGATGAGAGATTGATAACGAAACTTGACAACGTTCTTCTCGATGGGAAAGAGATCTTCACAAATGTACTAAGATTTCAAAGGAACAATTGAACTGATCAGGAGGCTCAAGAGATTAATAGAGGTGGTACGTTACAGATTAAAGGGGGGAGAACGATTCTTAATCGTGACAGAAGTATGTACGAAAACAAGGATCACAGAATCTTTGAGAAGTAACTTTGAATAAGGAGGTTACAACTAGGGAAGACAAGGGGGAAGCGAAGGAAAATTGTTTGTTACAGTTTAAGGAAAATGGTGAAGATATGAACAGATTCAATAGGGCTTTCGTCAGAGAAACAAAGGAACCGAAAACTGCTTCCTAGATGAAGAAAATATTTCACGACGACGGTATTTTTACGATTAGAGTAACCCTTATGGGGAAAATTTATGTTTATTGGAAGATTTAGTTGAAGGTGCAGTTGGTGGCAAAAATGGCTTAAAGAGGTAAGGCCATGGAAACACAGTGACTTAGATTCAGAGAGATTAACATGGATCAAATGCTTAGGAATCCCTTGTCATGCCTGGAGAGATAAGTTCTTTGAACTTATCTCTGCAACGCTAGGCTTTTTCATCAATAGCGATGATATCACATCGTTGAAGGTGAGTTTGGATGTGTCCAGATTTCGTATCAGAACCAAATGTGTATCGTTCATAAATGAATCTATGGTGGTTTTGGTTAACGAAGTACCATTCAGAATTACTATGGTGGCAGAGATGCAAGGTTTGAGGGAAAGCTCGATAAAAGAGGGGAATCAGAGGATGGTTTCCATTCTTCAGAACTTGAGGATTCCAACGCCGGTGAAGAAGGAATTTTTGATGGTTTCGAGGAGGATGTGATGGGTGAATCGGAGGAGGAAAGCGGGGTGATATAGACTAATGATAGTGTCAGCAAGACCGCTCATTCTATACTTGGAGTTGATTCACAGGACAATGGAAAGTTTGTTTCACGTTTGAGGTATAATAAGGAATCAACTAGCGTAAAGGGACTCTTTGTTTCTTCTGAACAACCGTTTATAGTTTTTAAGGTGAGAAAGTCTAAGCCTAAAGTTGTGGCTACAAAAGGTACTAGTGGTAGTCTAAAGGATTGTCCTATGGACAACTCAGTTGAAGAAAAGAGTTCTTACATGTCTTTAAATAAAGAGGTGGGGCCAGGAGGTGATGTTCGTATAAGACCAGCTTCTTTTGGGCCTTCTGGTGGGTTGGGAAAAAAAAAAGGCCCAAGATCTTTTGATAAGGCCTGTAGCAAAATTAAAAAAAAGTAATGAAAACAGAAGAAACACTAGGAATGTCAAAGAGTTGGGCATCCAGGTAGATTTCAAGCCGTCTTATTATTCTTGTTTAGCTCCCATGAACGTCGGCGGTTCTTCTAGAAATTCCGGAGCAGAGATGGCATCTAAGAGTGAGGAAGACAACATTTTAAACGGTACATTATTTATTTGTAAATCCCTGACTGATTCTGAGGTTTTACGGTGTTATAATAGATTGTTGAAGAATGATAATTCTAGGGTGGTGAATCGAGGGAAGAGAAAGGATGTGATTAAGATTTGGAGATGATGGAGGAAAGAGATAAGGTAGGAATGTTGGCTAAGAAGGCGGAATCAAAAGTGTTGTCATGAATATTTTATCATATAACACAAGATGGGGGGATTATTGTCGAAGAGGAAGAGAATCAACTTTCTTATCAATTCTGGCAGTACTGATCTATGTATGATTTTCAGGAAACTAAAATTACTAATTTTGATGAAAATTTGGCTTGGTCCTTTTGGGGTAACAAGGAGGTGGAATGGACTGCTTGCAATTCAATTGGGGCGTCGGGAGGCATGGTGATATTATGGAGGCGTAATTTACTCTCTCTAAACTTAAGTTTCAAAGGCTCTGGGTATGTGGGAATTAATGCTAATTGGAAGGATGGAGTGTATAATTTCGTCAACATTTATGCTCCGTGCAACGTGGCGGCTAGGAGGATTATGTGGGGCAGCTTTGTTGATATAGATTTTCACGATGGGGATGAGATTTGGTGTCTTGGAGGTGATTTCAATGAAGTGTGATGTAGGGAGGAAAGGTTAGGAAGGGGGAATAATCATTCAAGAAGAGATATGGAAGACTTTACGAGTTTCATCGCCAATATGGATCTAGTGGATCTTCCTTGTGTGGGTGGGAGACTCGCTTAATTTAAAGGTGAAGTGGTGAAAAACACAAGAAGGGGGGGGTTGAATTGTAAAACGGAAATCTAAAGCAATTGACAAGATATTTTTATCCTGGTTCGTTTGATCTCAAACTACTCCAGTCCACCCGTCAAGGTGATTTCGCCTCTCTCCAACGAGGTCTTAATTCACTATATTCAACTGAATATTACAGACTGCTTTAACAACTGCTAAAGCCTTCTTGATTCAAACCACAACCCGGTTTGTCAAGGTAACACTTTCTTACAAAGAGATAAAACAATGTGTGTGAATGTTTTCTACAAAACTTTATCACAACTGTGATGTATACACAAATTGAAGCTTAGAAACTAGATTGCTAAACAGTAATGGAGTATCAGAGTATGTGGTTTAGCAAAACTGGTAGAACGAAGATTATGGTTCAGCTTTGTGCGTGTAGAGATTTGGAGAACATTAGCCATTATAATCTTCAAAGCCTTGTTTATATAGCACTTGAGAAGATGAACGTTGAATGCAATATTCTTGATTCAATGCTAATAACAAGCTTTCCTTTTTGAGCAGATCTTGTCTGGAATGAGGCCGTTGGAATTAATTAGCTTTCAATGCACAGTACCGTTGCTTCTTTAACGCAAGTTCTGGCTTAGCTCATTCTGATTCTGCTTCGCTGCTGATGAACTATTGTGTTTCTGTATCAGAGTGTTTGAGCGCAGTCTTGTTCATCAGGCTTCAGCATGTACGTGAGTTGATCATCTGATCTTGACGTTCTGATGTAGCAACTTCTGATGCTGGTGTATGAAATCAAATTCTGATGCTGAATAGACGTGGTCTTGCTTGCATCAATCAGAGTATCTGCAAGTCAGAACATAATAATTTTAGGTAGCAGATAGTTCAAGCATGAAACATATAAATACTATATCTTTTCACTTTGTTATCATCAAAACTTAAATATAGGGTAGTAGATTCAAACATTGTTCTAACAATCTCCCCCTTTTTGATGATGACAAAAACTAGATATTTTAAATGAAAAATAACGTGAAAAGGTATCTGGAAAAAGTATCAGAGTAAGAAGTAAAAGAATAAGGAGTAAGGAGATACTCCCCCTGAGTTTATTACTTCCCTTTGATTATACGTGTTCTTCAGGATCAGATCTTTTTCTTTCTTTGAACATCAGATTATCAGAGTCTTTGACTTATCAGAAGCTTTGTGTCAGAGCAGAGCTTCAGAGCTTCTCTTGTCAGAGCTTTGCTTTGGATCAGAGTATTAGGACGATCAGAACTTCATATTGATCAGAGCAACATTGATCAGAGCTTCTAGTCTTCAGAGTGTCCAGGAGCTTCCTTGTGCCTGTAGACTTCAAACAAAACAGAAAAAACATTTCAAGTAATAAAGTTAGAATGTTTGAGAATTTCTGTCTAGTTAGCCGTTATTGATTTAAATATCATTCTTGTTCTCCCCCTTTTTGTCAGCAATCAAAAAGTGTTGGTGATGTGCTAAAACAATTAAGATCAGAAAAACAAATTACATTAAGATAGTTCAGAATCAGAGCAAGAAAATATTACAAAAACTTAATCAAAACAGTACATCAGAAAATGAAGAAAACATGAAAAAGGTCATGCATGAAAAAGATTTAAGGTTGAGGAGGCAAGCGTGTGAACAGGCGCTCCAGCATCGCTTGAATCTTTTCAGAAGTTTCATTTTGCTTATGAACCATGCTGACAACAGTGTCAATCTTGCTGTCTTGCACATCCATTCTTGCTTTCATCTTCTGATCGTTGTCATCCATCCGCTGTTGTAGACGCAAGTCATTCAGCCTTAGTTCTTCCAGAGTCTGCCTGTCCAAGGCAGCTTGAGAAGCATCAGAAGGAGGAGGCTTCTCATAACTTTCAGCGACATCCGCTGCTTGACTTTCATCCTGAATGGTCTTGTCTTCTTCTGATGGTTGCACTTTTGCAGCTTGCTGTTTCTCAGACCAAGGTTCACTGTCCAGAGGGAGCACGTCTTCCTGAGGCAGCTGACTTTCAACTTCCTTCAGCAGCTTGCTGAAGTTCTGTTGTGCCTGCTCATAGTTGATATCCTGCAACTTGAGGGCTTCAGCACGTACCCAAGATCTGAACTGTGACCAGAGCTGATCAGAAGCAGCTGGGTTAATCATCCCAGGACAGACTTGCTTCAAAGAAGCAATCCATTGCAGCACACCT